TTAGGCTACAAACTCTAACAAACATCCATCCATCTAAACTTTCGCATTTATAATATTAGTAGGAAGTGGGATAGTTTCCTTTTCTTTATGTTAATCATTAGTTTCTAGGTTTCGCTCACGAATCTGTCCGCGAGGAATTTAAAAAAAGTAAGTAGCCTATGTGTTCCTCCTGACTGTGGTCTATAGCCAAATTTCATGGAGATCCGTTCAGCGGTATATGCAGCAAACTTACAAACATCCATCCATATAAACTTTTGCATTTTTAATATTAGGAAGATATCAACGAGATCTTTATTGTGTGTTGTTTTTACATTAGAAATAGTAAGCGTGTATTTTAAAATGTGCGGTAAACAAATCATTGCTGGCAGGCAGTTACAAAATATTGACAGATTAAATCAATAAAAAGAAAACTTAATGATTCCAGTTAAAAAGCAATGCAAACTGCTTTGTAAGTTATTTAACCGCGATCTCTATTGGATTATCGGTAACGAGCACACTGCAGCCTAATCTAGTTATGCTACATCCAATTACGGTAACGATGAGCGCCATCTAGTAGCACCGCCTTGAAAGAGCTACGGAATCCGTTTTCCTACAAGGTTACTATTAGTTCAAGAGATTATTTTTCTTTACATAATGAATTGTATTATTAATTGGATGAATCGCATGTAACAAGGAGAACGTTAGTTATTAGTGGAAGGGTACACCAGTAGAGGTAACATAGAAAGAGAGGGATTGCGTAAAAGGTGACATGATCAACAAAAATTAAACAAAATAATGGGACCCACCTGCAAACATTACCTTTCGGATAAAAAAAGAATTATCCAAATCGGTCCACTAGCGGCGGAGTTATGCCGTAACATACATAAAAAAAAATAAAAAAAAAACATATCGACGAATTGAATACCTCCTTATTTTGGGAAGTCGGTCAAAAAGAGAGTGATGACTGAGATGACGTATGATAGAGTTACGTGGAGGACAAATACATGTTGCGCCGACCCTACGGGAGTAGGATAAGGAGATGATGATGATGATGATGATGAATTGTATTCTTTATTAGTTATTAATATTTCTTAATAGTTCTAATAATAATTTGCTCAATTTAATATGTTATATGTATAGAAAAGAGACATGCGTAAAAAAGACATCAACGAAATTTCAGGATGAAATACAAAAGTTTTTTTTTTATATTTAATTACATACAATAGGTGTAAACAAAGGTATTTAAGACGCAAAACGTGATGCTTACCACATAATCAATGTTAATTAAAATGTACATTATAATTAATGTACGGGACAGAACTGCGCATTTAATGACATAGGATCTAAAAATAAAGTACTGCGTTTTATCTAAGATACATTTACATATATATACATATATATTTACATATACATTACTAGTTTTTGCTCGCGACTTCGCACGCGTTAAAAAAATAATAGTAAAAAACATAGCCTATTTTAATCACAGATAACCTTTGTAATGGTGAAAGAGTTTTTAAAATCGTCCCAGTAGTTTCAGAGTTATTTCAATACATACAAAAATACAAAGTTTTCCTCTTTAT